GGCTGGTCTCGAACTCCTGAGCTCAAACAATCCACCCGCCTCAGCCTCCCAGAGAGCTAGGATTACAGGCGTGAGCCACCGCGCCCGGCCTAAATTTATTTTTCTTTAAGGTAGAATTCTTCTGTCAAACCATCTGGACCTGGGACTTTTTTGGTGGGAGTGGTAGTAGCTCTTTGTTAACTTTATTTCTTCTATGGATATTGGTCTGCTTAGGAGAATGTCTTTCTTCCATGGTCAGTTTTATTAAATTATCTTTCCTTATAAAATTATCCATTTCATCCAAGTTTTTAAACTGATTTTTATAGAATTGAAGAAAGTAGTCTGTCATTATTTTTTTATTTTTGCCTGTGTTGTATTATGCCTGTTGACTAATTTTATGTATTTGGACTTTTCTCTGTCTTATTTTCACAACGTTAGCTTCTTACAGTTTTTCTATTTTACTTTGTTCTTTTAGAAGAAACATCTTTTAAATTTAATTTTGAGTTCTACTAATTTGGTGTTCCAAACTTAATAATTTGTCTTTATCTTTTATCTTTAGTAAGTCCTTCTACTTTTCTGTGGTTTATTTTATAGTTACTTTTCTAACTTTGAGTCAATGCTTATTTTATTTTTTATTCTTTCTTAGCTCTGTAGGTAAGGTGTCATTTCTCTCTCACTGCTTTCAAATCTTTTGTATTATTTTTAGTTTTGAGAATTTTGACTTTGATGTGGTTTTTTGGCATGAATTTCTTTGAGTTTATCCTTTTAGGGATTCATTCAGCCTCCTGAATCTGTAGTTTGATGTCTTTGCCAAGTTTGGGACACTTTCAGCTATTATTTCTCCAGATACTTTTCTAGCCCTGCCCTCTTTCTCCTTTCCTTTTAGGACTCTGATGACATGAATGTTATATCTTTTGCTATACTCCTACAAATCTCTGATCCTCTGTTAATTTTTTCAGTCTCTTTTCTCTCTTGTATAGTTTGGGTAATTTCTGTTTTTTTTTCAGGTTCACTAACTTTTCCCCCCCTCTGTCTTCTCTGTTTTGTTGTCGAGCCCACTGGATTTTTTATTTTATTTTATTTGGTTATTATGTTTTTCAGTTTTAAATTTCCATTTGGTTCTTTACATCTTCTATTTAGTTGCTAGCACTTTCTATTTTTTTCATTTGTTTTAAGCAAATGAATTAGTATACAGAAAATAAATTAGTAATTAGTACTAATTAGTACTGTATAGTAATTATTTATTGAAGCATTTTATGACGATTGCTTTAAAATTCTTGTAGGATAATTTCAACATTTGTGTCATCTTGGTGTTGGCGTCTGTTGATTCTTTTCTCATTCAAATTTAGAGTTTTCTGATTTTTGGTGTGAGTGATTTTTTATTGTATCTTGGACATATTGGGTCTATTTTCTTATGAGGCACCGGATCTTATTTAAATCTTCTGTTTTAGCAGACCTCCTTTGACACTACACTGGTGGTAAGGGGAGGTACTGCCAACTGCCACGTGGAGGTTGAAATTTAGGCTCCTCATTCAGCCTCTGTTGATACCTCATGAGTGGGTCCAGGAGTTTGGGCTGATACTACCTGGCTGAAATAGGGAGGGATACTTCATTCCTTTCATGACCTCCACTGACACCACGCTGAAGGGGAGAATGAGGGCAGGGGTTGTTACCACTGAAGAATGGTGAAAATCCTAGTTCTCCATTAGACCTCCTCTGTCACCACCATTGAGGAGACAGAGGGGGACTCCTTCTCATCACCAAGTGGGAATGTATAATGTACACATTTTATTTTCTGTATACTAAGATGTTTTGACATCTTTAAAAACTTTATTGGCTGAGGAGGCACTGCCTTTCCCAGGGGTAAGCAATTCTTAGAGATAGTAAGGGCTCAGCAAGGAGCATGCAATTTGTTTTAGTCCATTTTCTGCTGCTGTAACAGAATATCAGACTGGGTAATTAATAAAGAACAGAGATTTACTTGGTTCACAGTTCTGAGGCTGGAAAGTCCAAGAGCATAGCACTGGCATTTGGTAAGGGTTATGCCATGGCAGAAGGTGGAAGGGCAGGTAAGCACTCAAGACAGAAAGAAAAAGAGGCTGAAGTCCCTTGATAACTAACCCACTCCTGTGATAATGGCATTAATCCATTCATGAGGGCAGACCTTTCATGACCTAATCCCCCCTGTAAGGTCCCACCTCTTAATACCATCACAGTGGCAATTAAATTTCATTGTCAATTTTGGAGGAGATATTCAAACCATAGCATCTTTGATATGCAAACTAACCAATCCAGAGCCATACCTCCTCTATCTGGACATCTCAGTAGGCAATATTCCTCTGCTCTGATCATCCCTAGGCTAGGCACTAGACTACTAGGGACCTCTTCATCTCCTCTTAATGGCCACACTTGACTGACCATCTCATAAAAAGAGTATGAAACAGGATGTAAGTCCAGATATGTCCTCCACTGACATCACTGGGTGGGGACGTGCTTTTACCGCTGGGCTATCCCATGCCTTCTCTGACAGTACCCCTGGTTTAGAGGAGAGTTGCCTTGTTATAGCCTCACAAGTACAGAAGTCTGAGTTCCCCATTTGGCATTTGTGCCTTTGTCAAAAATTGACTGACCAATTGTGTGTGGGTCCATTTCTGTATTCTGTTCTATTTAATTGATCTATTTGTCTATCTTTATGCTAATACTACACTGTTTGAATTAGTGTAACCCTCTAACATCTTTCTTCTTTTTCGAAGTACTTTAGCTGGTCTTTTTCATTTCCATATGCATTTTAACATCAGCTTGTTAATTTGGCCATAACCTTGTTTCTATTACAGCTTAGCTCTGTAATAGAAAAATATGGTTGTATGTTGCCTGATTTTCTGGTCTTTATTAAATAATTAAAATATGTTTGTGTCAGAAAATTTAGAAAACATAGATAAGCAAAAATATAAAAGATATATTAAAATCACCCAGACTTTGAATTTTTAAAAGCCATTTAAAATATGTATTATAAAATCCAATCATATATTGCATAATACATATGTAAACATGAACATATTGCATATATAAGTAGAGATATCGTGTATGTGTGGGTATACGCATATGTAGCAGTCTCCAACCTTTTTGGCATCAGGGACCAGTTTCATGG